TTATTTTTAAAGATTGAATGGATAACATAAGTCTCTCTCTCTCTCACATACACACACCAATTCTTTTTTGTCCTGAGACTTTTCATTCTAATTGAAAATGTAAGGTCATAGATACCTCTCTCTCTTCTGACAGTACAGAGCTGTTCAGAAGACCCTCCCCAAACAGACTCCAAGCTGGAGCTGGGTAATTATCATTCCTTTACCCTTTAAGAGATATTAGATAAATAGGAAAGAAAATGAGGAGCAGACTCCTTCCTTATTTTCTTTCCACCCTTTTATCTCTAAAGTAGGAAGTTTACTGAATCACTGCCAACAATTCACTCAGCCTAATGAAGTGTATAAGTAATGAGATTAAATAATCTTAAACCATTATTACACTGGCCTGATGCTGACATTCATCCAAAGTCTGGCAACACAGAGTGGTGATTTTATGCTTGATTTAAAAATAAACAAACTTGGTCAGTGCAAAGATTCTAGCATAAAGTGTCAGCTGCATTTAACCTGGAAATCTGCATGCACCATCCTGGTCAGGGCTGAAGCCGTCACTCTCTAACCAACATTCACAGATCCAACATTTCCTGGATGTTTCTGTAGATCTGTTACCACATATGGCTCTCTCGATCAGACCCAAAGAGAGAACATTTTGGGAGACATTATCAAGGGCCATGGTTCCTATTCCTGCCTCAGCCCCAGGGATCTACATAATGTCGGACAAATCATTCAGCTCTCAGGACTTAAATTTTAGCTATAAATGATATTGTTGGCTTTCCAGGGTTCCCACAGATCCTTAAAGAGCATCTATGGCAATGGAGAAGCCCTGGTGGCCGAGTGGGTGACATGTTCAGCTGCTAATCACAAGAGATGAACCTTTCAGCTCTTTAAAGAGTTACAGCCTCAGAAGCCCCCGAGGCAGCTCTCTTCTGCCCTCTAGGCTCCGTGGGACTTGGCACAGACTGATGGCAGGGAGCTGGAGTTTTTAGTGCAGCAATGTAAGCTCCTGCGGATTTGATGATAAACCAGGAGGAGGCTGGCTTCTTTGTTGTTGTAGGCAACCTGGCCCACACTGAGGTCAGTGCCAAACTTACCCAGATCCTCCTTGGAAGCAAGACGTGGCAATCTGCTCCTTGGAAAGGACACAGTCAGAAGATCAAATGCGACAGTGCTACCCACAGGGGGTGGGTTTACGGGAAGATCACTAGAGAGCATCTAACAAGATCCAGCAGCAGCAGCGAGGCCTGAGAGAGATGTGGTGAGCAGTCACCAAGAGGGGCAGTGAACTGGGAGCTGTTTGGGGAGAGGACCCCATAACCAGTGGTAGCAAAAGACCAGGATGTACCCACTCCCCTCACGGAGAGTGTCGCTGGCTCCTAATTCTCAGGTGACAACGTGACCACTGGGTGAAGTGAGAGGTGCTTTCCAAAGCCTATCCAATCCCCCAATCATTTTGCACATGATGAGTTAATGGCCCCTGTAAAATTGTAGAGCATTCTTCACTTAGACCCTCCATATTTTTAAAGTTTTACCTACATCCGTAATTTGTTTCATGAGCATATGAGGCTTTATTTCTAGTATCTTATATTTTGTCAGGGGTTTTTTTGGGGGGGGATTCTATCCTTTGTGAATATTTATGCATTCTAAATGAACAAATACAGTTTTGAGAGAAAAACTCATAGAGAAATATAGATGATACAATTGATATTTAAAATTCAGCAATAAAAAGTATGCAACTACACTCTACATTGTCTAGAAATTGTCTAGAAATGTAAAAACTTTAAAATATGCATGGATATAATTTAAAACCAACCAACAAGTCAAATTTAGGACAAGAATGTTGGAAATGCAATTAGAGAATCAAACCCAAGATCTTTTAATTAAATCTCTAGCGTTTTGTTGTGACATTGGAAGGTGGGTTCACAAGCCTTGACTGGGATATACTTTATATCTTCCTCTTATGAGCAATATGACCAGATAAATTGAAACACAGGTGGTATTAATGTAATGGGAGTGACCCTGGCCTATGAGAATCCAGGGTGAAGGTCGGCCATTGGTTTAATTAAAAATCCTATTTTCCCCTTTCTATTTGTGTTATTGCAGTTACTTTTCCTCCGCTCCTTTTAAAAATATTTCCTTGTGAGTCTAGAGAAAATTTACATAACAAATTCGCTTCTCATTTAACAATTTCTATACATAGTGCGTGGTGACACTGGCTAGACCTTTCGCCATGTGTCAGTGTTCTCATTTCTATCCTAGTTGCTGTGACTCCATGCATCTAGCTCACCAGTAACCTGCCTTCCCCGTACCTTTCCTGTTGCTTTAGGCGAGCTGCAGATGGTTAGACCTCATTTAGACGGCGGCTTAGAGGAGCCCAGTTCTAGAAGGTGAGGTTTGCTCTGTGCGCCACTCTGTCTTTTGGGTGAAAGGTGACATCCAGAGGTGGCTTGAGTGCCAGGTTTAAAGGGTCTTCAGGGAAATCGTCTTACAGATTATGAGTTCAGGAAGTCTTGCCTTTTGTTAAACAGGAATTTGGAGTTTTGTGTTAGTCCCCTCCCTCGTCCTATAGTCCAGGTGATATAAGTCATTCGTTGTCCTTGGGGCCGTCTTTTGAGATGATTCGTTTTCTTCCTAGTTTTAATATATCAATATCACAAAGATTCCTAATATATTCAACTACTATTGTCATCAAGGACTGGGCCAAGTTCTATGATGTGGCATTCAGATAGCTAATAATTCATTTAGGTTTGAGTGTTTGTATAAGTTAGCTTAGAAAAGTTTCCTTTGGGGGTAAGTGATGTTAGAAATTATAATTGGGATCATGGTAGTGGTAGAAACGTTTTGATGCTTCTCTTGCGAAGGTATGAAAGTTGAAATGGAACAAGATTCTTTGTTCCTTAAAGAGTTACAAAATCCTGTTAGTGACATTTCCTGGGTCTTTCTCAGGTAGTGGTACATTTTTGAAGTTATTC